ATGAGCAAACATATCAACGTTCAGAACGATCTATATAATAACAAATTGTTTTGTTTATTATGCAAGTTACCTTTTTGGAATCCTTTGGACCTGCGAGCACAGAGATAGTCAGTCTCCCCCGAAGAGCTACTGAACCTCGGCTTCACAAGTAATCTCATCTGGTAGTGGATGCTATAAAGAACCTTAATCCATCTGAAAAAGGAGACGAAGGCATACCAGTTGTTTCAAGGAACTTCAGACTACATAGTACTAATTTATACCCAAGTTTTAGTTTTGCAAAAATTGATTTCTTTTTATGGGTTTCAACCTCAAGAAAGCCAAAATGAAAATGCTGCATGGATCATATGCAAAAAATTTGCACAGCTGATGGAAAAGAAAAAAATGTTCGTTCTTTCTTGGTATTTAGTTCTCAAATTAACTTTATTTGCTTTGATGGGTTCATGACAGAATTAGAGAGATAGGATAGAAGGGACTAAATTAACAATTTACATAATCATGAAAATAGTCCATCGACTTCAATAAATTGAACTACGGTTCTTGAAAAAAAAAATTTAATATAAAATATTAAATGTAATTGAATAGTACAAGTCAATGTCTAGACAAGAGACATACAGTCACAATCTTTAACACACTTGTACACTGAGTATTCTACATAAAATGAAATCATCTGCTCTTACAAGGAATGATTATCTTTAACCCAGTCCACAAAATTATTGAAATTCTTATGAGAACACCCTTTTGTCGCACTAGCCACGGTCTTTGCTTGAAGATTCAGGGCCCTTTCTTTATATCTTTCATCGATCAATAGTTGCTCCAACTTATTCTTAATTTCTTCCTTTCTGATTATTCCCCTTGCATCTCTATCCAATTCCAATCCAACTTCCCAATGATCACAAATATAGGTTTGATTAAAAAACTGGTCAGCAAAATATGGCCAGCATAAGAAAGGGACTCCATTACTTACCCCTTCCACTGTAGAATTCCAACCACAGTGGCTTAAAAAACAAGCAACAGAAGGATGAGATAAGACCTTTTGTTGAGGAGCCCAGCTCACAATTAGCCCACGATTTTGTACTCTATCATTGAAACCTTCTGGCATGTTTGGTAAGGTCGACTTGACAGTACTGACATCTTGACGTACAACCCATAGGAATGGCCTATTCGTTAGCTCAAGCCCGAGAGCCAATTCTTGAAACTGAGTTTCATTAAAAATAGTGAAACTCCCAAATGC